CCTTATATGGTGTTTTTGGGGTGGTAATTATGCTAATCTCCTCTCGCGTGCACGAGCAGGTGGATACGAACAGGTGGAATTTACGCAGCTCATTTACGCACTTTTCCTGAAGAGTTTGTTGAATCTGACGTGACATGTTCGTACGAACCCTTCGTAAGAACAAAAGTAAGAGAAATTTAGGATAAGAATACGAACATGTTCTTGCATGAGACCCAATGTCTTGGTTGTTTATGAGCATATTTTTAGAAATAACAAAAAAATAGATTTTAGAACAGCTTTATTTCTCGTGAACATGACCTCACATTTTAGTTGTCTTAAATGGGCTCCTAAATGATCCCTGTTTTCATTAGCTCAACCCCCTTTGACAATTTCTGATTCTCCAAACTAGAATTTTTGACTGTCAACTGCAGGTAGGACAGTGACTATTTATTGTCACACCAGACAAAAAAAACTGAACTCTTTCTCTAAAACTCAGCTTGAACATGTTATTGCCACTTCAACCACATCTTGCTGGCATTAGACAAGAAACAATGTTTGCTGGGGTGTCAAACTCAAGTCCTCGAGGGCCGCTATCCTGCAGGTTTTCCTTGTTTCTTTGCTTCAACACACCTGATTCAGTGCTTCAATTTACTCCTTGAATTCTGTAGAAGCCTGTTAATCATCCATTCATGCAAATCAGATGTGTTTGAGCAGGAGAACAAGAAAACATGCAGGACAGCGGCCCGAGGACCAGAATTCGACACCTGTGCCCTATGGATCACTACAAAAGACACTGAATTGAACAAGTTGACTGAATAAGATCGAGTGATAAGTGATATCAGCAAGAAAGTGAAAATGTTTGTTCAGTCATGTGAAAGGTAGCTTCAATTTCTACCTGATAAGTAAAATGATAATTTAGTGAACATTTAGAAAAAGATGAAACTTAAAAGCCACACTTTTACCTCAAGTGAAGAAAATGTGGTGATGGGCTGATTCCTAAACACAGATAAGACTTGTGTTTGTGTGTCACTCCTCTTTGGTGACAACTTTGTGTCCTTAAAGTTGATTTCAACAACATAAAAGCTGCAAAAGTTGCTTCGATTCAGTGCCAGCGTCCAAACAAGCAGCTCAGTCATGTGCCAAATGGAGCAAGAGTGGGTTTGTTTTGGTCCCTGTTGTTGCTGGGATCCAAAGTAATTTAAACACATTAAAATGAACCATTTGTTTTAGTCCTTATTTTCCCTCAAAAGAAAAAAAAGAATTAATCAGTTCAAGTTTGGATTTCTAGGTTAGTGAGATGTTTTTTTTTTAAAAGCGTAGCATACATGGTGAATCAATGAGCAGACATTTCATGTTGAATGAGTTGTAATTTACTGACAAGTCTGCAAACAGCAGCTCGTCTGTAAATGAGTCCAGGATCACACAATCCCATCATTGTTGTCCATCTTTCTTTCCCAAACCACACCAATCAGTTGCGCACAGAACTCCACTCAAATGAGAAGAACACAAGAAGCTGACTTACAAAAAGCACATGCTTTACAGCAGTGGTGTCCTGCATGTTGTAGGTGTGCTTAATTAAGTAGGCCTCTGCAGACCTTGATGGCATCCTGAGGATAATTAAGCACTACTTAGGTTCAGCTGCGTTGAACCAGGGCAGCACCTAAAACATGCAGGACAGCACTGCTTCAGAGCCCTGAGCGTTTAAGATAATGGTTACCTTTTTTAGACGATTGTGCATAATCGTTTGGAAAATCCGAGCCAGGATCAGTCCTATTCCAGAGACCAGCAGGAGGGCGCAGATGGTCCCCACTGCGTAAATGGCGCAGGGTCTTCGCGTCATGTTCGCAGGTGCAACAAGGAGAGAAGTGCAGGTTTATTTCCACAAGGTCAACCTTCCCCCTCTTCACTCAAAGAGAAACTGTGAAGTGAACCTCAACTTCTCCCCCTGAAGAAAAAAAAAAAAAAAAAAAAAAGCTTTAACTCCTTCCAGCTTCTGTGTTAAGTTCCTCTCAAGTTTCCCCAAGTTGGAGCGAGCAGCGGAGACGTGTGTAAAGTGAACTTTCAGAGCACGAGGTGCACCCTCCCGCTGCGCGTCTGCAGAAATGACTCAAAATAAAAACGAGCCCGTGCCGCGAAGCATTTGTAGCGGCTCAGAAAGTCTCTGCCTCCTCCACACGAGCCGAGCTCTGATTGGTCCCGCCGCTGTGTGTCCTCGGTGGGACGAGACGCACCCCATCCTCCCCCACCCCTCGTTCTGACCTAACATAAAATAACCTCAAACTCCCCACACGCTCCCTCCTCTACACAGTTTACTCACTTTACCGCACGAGGATCCGGCGCATGCGTAAAAACCTAATGTTATGACTCGGTTTGGAGGTCTGCTCACACCACATATCCGACAATGATTATCCATGTGTTTTACTTTTTTTGTTTGTTTTTTAAAAAGGACAAGTGTTTAGTTTTTTTGTGTTTTTTTTTCATTGATGCCACTCTGCAGAGATAGGTAGCATTTTAGAAATACACAATTTCATAGATTTCAGCAGGCACAGCATTGTGGGTAGGAGTCAGAGGTTATTTGGTAAAAACTGGGTAACACTTTACAATAAGGTACACAAAAGATATGTGTTTTGAGCTTTATATGTTATAATGTAATTTCCTTATCAAAAACAAAACAACAACCAACATGCTGTGTTGTAAATGTAGGCTATAACACTTATTTTATTAAAAGCATGTGCTCTAACTTTAAAAGCTTACTATAGGACTTTACAACATTAAGTGGAATTTAAATCTGCTCTTCACAAAGTTGATTCATTTCATTTTCTAAAATTAATTAATTAATTTATTTGGTCGACCCTCAGCGTTTTATTTGGGTTGAGTTCTGGACTTTGGGCCATTGCTACACTTGTTCCTTTTCCATGAATGTCCAGGTTCCTCATCCTGTTGCATCAACCAGCCTTACTTGAGCTTCAGCTGTCCGACACTTTCACGTTCGACTAGAGAAAAGTTTTGGTGCAGGGAGGAGCTCCTGGCCGATTCAATTACTACCATATGTTCAGTGGTGCTGCGGCTGCTAAAACAAACCGTTTTCCAGTTGGAGTCCGTCGACTTGCTGGGGTTTGGTTTCTTAAAGCACAGTGCTGAGCGTTCAAGCAAATTAACTTAGGGCCTTATTTTTTCATGCTTGTTTGTTACAAGTCAACTGTGGGTTTCCGCTGTATTGCTTTTCTTGTTTAAAAGAGAAAGTTTTCTCCTCACAACCCTTGCAGATTTACAATACTCCCTCTGTCTTTTTGAAAATATGCGGCCAAAAATTTGAAAACTCATTGCTGAGCTCTCCAGACACAGACACATATACATGGTTCTATATCTGATTTAGCAGAAAGCTGAGATGTTTACTGAGAAGACTGTCAGCTGTTTTTTTTTTTTGTTTGTTTTGTTTTCGACTTCAGAAACATCCCTCTCGTTGTGGAAAAAAAAGTTTGTCTTTTCACAGACTGACGGACAGAAATAATTGTCTTTCTGAGATGACTGGCAAGACACTTCACCCCTAATGCCTCTGATGTGTGTCCCATCAGTGTATGAATGTGACTGGCACTGATTAGTCTCCACAGATGATTGCATATGTTAGCTTTGTAGGAGATCTACACTGAAAGAAATGATTCTGTAGCTATGCAAATTATATATATA